GTCCCACATCGAGAAGAGATAAAATAACATTTTATACGATGCCCTGAAGAGGGGCCTCCTACTGCGTCCTGCATTCTATTATTGTAAATGGAAATAAATAAAACAAATTATCAAAGACAGATTAATATAATGTCAATATTTCGAGAAATAATTTATTGAACTGAATATAATTTGATTTGTGACGTATTTGTATGAATCATAAGTGGAAGACTATTTTAATATGGTTCCAATATCAATTAATTTCTTTTCATTTGAACGTTTTTTTTATCGTATTTTCATGTTATATTCGTATAAATGTCTTAACAGCTTTGTATATGAATTGGGCATTTTCAAATGCGTACATAAATTTAATCTGTATCTGTGAACTGGGTTAAAGGTGCGAAAACAATTACAATTGCACAATAAAGCGTCGCTTTTAGCGAAACCGCCTCAATTTTGGACTCATAACGTTTCTTTCTTTATAAGATCTTTATCGTACATTGAGTATCACACTTGATGCGTATAACGCACTTGGCATAATAAATATATTGTTTGTCGTACACTTTTTTACAAACTTTTTATATTTTTATATATAGACGCAGTCTTTTCCACTCGACTCAATAAATTTTCACCTAAACCCATCACGAGATACTTGTCTTCAACAAACTCAAAAATTATTAAATTTTATCATTGCGTAACAAATTTTAGAAATTTCAAAATATTTAAAACAAAAGTTTACAATGCGATGTCTGAAAGATGCAGCAGCAATATGGCGAAATATTATTCTTAACTATATTTAAAAAAAACATACAAAAAGATCAGTTTTATTTTCTTATCAATTGTATGACAGTGTCAGATCTTGTACATTATTCATATATATATCCTACAAATGTATCCATGAGATATTGCTCACTGCTATCTTTTCACATTAAGTAGGCATATTCCGTTCCATTATTTCGCTCAGTACGTCACCACATTCTTGTGTACATAATATATTTTTTTAACACTCGAAACGAAAACTGTTCATCAATAAATTATCTTAACGCTTTTTAATGAGTTTTAAGAAAATGGTATAAAAACTCACGCAAAATTATAGCAAGAAATGAATAGTTTAACGCTTTTAAATTAGCTTGTAACTAGTTATCAGGATACGCACTAGTAATAGCTAGGAACTTGAAGAAGCTTTACTTCCATTTTTCGCTTTTTTTATTGATATACATTTAATATGCAAAATAGGTTATTCATTCTGAATAACTCTATAGCATTATTATGCCCATTTACAATAAATGGGACAATAGCCTTTTCTTTCTCCGAATTTTCTTTAAAATAGAACTTTTACTTTTTTATACACACAAGATACTAATGCACAATAAGAACACACGTAAAATTGAAGTCTAAAAGAATAGTATTCATTGTTGTGCAAAGAGGTAGACATGAAATGTTTATATGTTGCACACTCACGTGTTTTTGCGCGCGTGTGTGCGTGTGCGTGCGTGCGTGTGTGTGTGTGTGTGTGGAAGAGAGGGACAATAGTACGTGTATATGTGGAATGATAGGATACATTTAATTTGAAAATAAGACCGTTCTCTATTTTAGGTCTATTTTGTGTAACAATATAATAATTTTTACATTATAACAGATCTCTCAAAAATAGAAATAAAGTAAATCAATGATTGACGTCAGATGCAACTTTCGACTTGATTTTCGAGTCGACAATTCCCTCCTTTATCGTTCTTCTCTTGACAAATAACAGTTGCACGCAAGTAAAGCGTGCTTTGTTTCAATAGCGGTCCACCTCAAAAAAATTTTGATGACAATTTGGCAAAAGATACAATTTAATTATATGTGTACCGTCTTTCCCAAGCCACAGAACGCTATAATTACGCATATTCGGCGATTCATTGTCAAGATACGAAAAGAATGGACGTTTACACGAAAATTGGATTGAAAGCGACATCTAATGCCGACTATTGAAATAAATCTTTCTACGTAGAAAGCAAATCTGAATTGTCAATCATATTTTAAATTTACACGTTTCAATGTTATTTACAGTCACGTCCTCTTCAATACACTTTGGAGAAAGAAATAGCTCTCACCACTGTGTCACTTTACACTTTGAATTCGTCAGAATCAATGTAAATTTTGTCGCGCATCATACGCGACGTTATATACTTGTATTTGAGATGCACCTAACTTTCAAAGGCGTTCCAAAATACGATTATGAGATATCGGCTTTAAAATGCCGAATGATAATAGTCATAAGTAGGCCAGTAAGGCTGTAGCCAATCCTAGCTGGTACGTTGACGCTTTTTGGCAGGGTGCTCTTCGGACGAATGAGCTAGGGAAGGCATGACCATATCTCCTCTATTGAACATATACTTGAATTGTGGCATGTATTTCATTATACTCCTAATATGGATTAAAGGTAGATCTTCTGTTAATGAAGAACATTTGCCTGCTTCCATTAACATCTTCATTTGCAGTCTGCAAAGTTTTATCTCTTTTATATAAAATAGATTATTTCATAAAATATAGTAAGTATCAATTATAATCATTATCCCATTTATCTATTTATTTATGTTTTTATATTTTGTTTATATTTATTTATTTATGTATATATATATATATATATTTACCTATTTCCTTGATATAATTCTATATGTAGTACATCTGTAAGAACTTGTCTACAACTCTCGATGTCACAAGCAGGAAAAAAATTGGAAACGAAGTCAGGAAGTGTCATCAGCAATTCGCTATAGATGTAAGGTTTGAAATTAATACAGGGTACCATCTTTTCTTCAAGTAATGCTTTCTGTATTTGGTATGGTTGTACATGACAAGTAGTAATATGTTGTGGATCCGATATTGGTATTAGTGGTTTCTTCCCTCGGGTATCCCTAAAAAATAACTTAAACGTAAATCGTACGCTGAATCAAACACATTTTATACATTTGAATATGCCAAAAGAAGAATTAATTTAATGTTTATTCATTTAGCTTATCAATAATAAGTAATAATATGTACCTGGAACCGCTACTACTGTTGCCGCTGCCGCTGCTACCATTAACTGGTATCAGAGGAGGTGGATATTTCGAATGAGATGTGTTATGCACAGATGGCGTATGCCTTTGTGGATGTAATAAATTTGGTGCTGATGTAGGTACTGGCATTAAAGCTTGGACTTGTTCGCTTAAACCAAGCATTTGTGGATATGTAGTTGCTGTAACTGCATTAGGTACACCTAACGTAGGTGTTGTATATGTCGTGGTCACCCTGAAATACAAAAATTATATTATTTTTACTACTTTATTAAATAGCTGTTACTAATTTTAATTTATTTGATTTCTATCATTAAAGTCTTTAATTTTTTTGGCAATAAATATGAGTGTCTATTAATTTTGTGTGTGTATGTTTAGTTTTGTTACATTTTTATATCTTTATAAATTAATAAAATATTCGATACAATTTCACAAAAACAACACAAGATTTATGCAAATATGATTAAATTACATATATTTACATATTTATGTTTGTACAAATATAATTTAATTCAATTTTTAATAAATAAATCCATTTTTTGCAATATTAAATTGTAAAAATAAAAGATAAAATAGATTTATATAAAAGCAATTTCTATATGCAAGGGATACATAAACTATATATAAATTATATATTTTATTAATATGACAAAAGAAATCACTTTTATAAATGGATTTATAATAATGCTGTCAACATTTAATTCATCCATTACGTATTTTAGACATTTTATTCATATTATCGAAATATCTCTCATTCAGGTAGATAGATAAATAAAATCCTCTGTAAATGATTTCTGAAAATAATATACATTACTCAATAAAAAATAGGGAACACTTTCTAACACAAAATTATACAATATTCAGGACACCATAACTCAGTAAAAAATTATCGCAAACAAAAAATCAAAAAAGCATTTGAAAGCTTGAAATCTCTATTTTCGAAATCAGTAATTGATATCAATCTGATTGATCTTTTACGGACAAATGAATACTCGTCAAATCTGAAAATTTTGTACAAATTTTACAAAGGTTTATGGCGTGAAGTAAAATTCACACAAAAATGCGGTTTACAGCAGTCGAAAGAATGAATCTCTACCTTCAATTTGCTTTTTTTATTGTACGATTTTTTCACCGAGTTATTGAAAAATGATTACTTTTGCTTCAATGTTAAATAAAAAAGCAAATTAAAGGTAAAGACTTATAATAAAGTTTTTACATACGAAAATGATTTGAAGCATTTGAAAGTTAGCTTTAAGCTTTAAAACGCTTATTTCAAACATCGCTTCGTAATCATTTTTCGCAGAGATATGTAACCTTGATTTTTTGACTCTTTTAACGCTAATTCTAAATGATCCTTTAACTTCAAAATAGAATAACTTTATCAAAAATAATCGTAATGAGATTTTTAAAAAAGCATTTTAAAGAGTGAAATTTCTACAGCAGTCGAAAGAATGAATCTTTTCCCTCAATTTATTTTTTTATTGAGTATTATATGATTTTTTTTTCAGTATTGAATAACTCAGTGAAAAAAAAATCGTACAATGAAAATCAATAAAAAAATCAATAAAAGCAAATTAAAAGTAAATACAGATTCACTCTTTCGATTGCTGTAAACCACATTTTTGTATGATTTTTATTTCACGCCATAGATCTTTGTAAAGTTTGTAAAAAAATTTCAGATTTAATGGATATCCATTTGTGTCCATATTTGTGGCTTCGTAAAGAATCAGTTTTCAGATTGAAATATCAATTACCGATTTCAAAAGTAAAGATTTCAACCTTTCAAATGTTTTTTTGATTTTTTGTCTGCGATGATTTTTCACCGAGTTACGGTGTTTTGAATATTGCGTAATTTTGAGCGTGTTTGAAAGTGTTCCCTATTTTTTGTTGAGCAATGTATAATAAAATATAATACGTCATATTACGTTAGAATCATTGTAAGATATTAGTTGTTGTTCGAAGCCTTTCTCATACTGTAAATAAACTAATTGGCTTTCGATCTTTACTTGGATATATTACAATTACTAAATTTTTCAGGTAATAAATATTTCTAGTTGTCTAAATATTTAGATATATACAGATTACTTTGTTTATACATTGACAGCAATATAATAATAAATCATTATTAATCATTATAAAATTTGAAATATTATGTGATGTATATATTGTGTGTGTAAAGTAAATTCATGACTAATGTATTTAATGTACTAATGTAATCACGCAAAGAGAGAGAAGCTTTAAAGACAGTCATGTAAATTAATTATAAATATTGATGTTAGCTTTATCTATATATGATTTATAGTTCGAAATATAAATTTATGCATGCTATCTTATTTCTTATAATTTATGACAATAGTATATGTTACAAGGACTCACCAGTCATCCTTCCCATAGGTGGGATAACTATACAAAAAAAAAATCATACGTTGTATGTACAAATGCAGAAAGCTATGGTGCAGATACTCTACATATAACGATTATAATTATGCTCTATATATATGTATATATATATATAT